ATGGTAGGCAGGGTGGAGTTGTGTAGGGCTTTGTAGATTTTGGTAGGGAGTTGATATTTAATTATAAATGTATTGACGAGCCACTGGATATTCTTATGTGGGAGAGAAATGTACCTGATTTATGTTTTTAAAAGTCCACTCTGTCTATTAGGCGGCAAATGGAAAACACAGAATTAAATGGAACGTATTATGATGATGCTCCATTATGAGCGTAAAGGTCTTGGTTGGGTGAGGTGGACCGAGTGTTGCAATACACAGCATGGAAAAATGGTCCTTTCAGCCACATCTCTGAGATGCCATTCTGACCTAAAAGGACTCAATTAATCTCTTTGAAGGGTAAAGTTCCTGAGAGACAATTCCTGTTGGATGATGTCCTGTGCTGTTGGCATGAGATTATAAAACACCTTTCCTTCAAACCATCTCAGACACGGCCATCCAAGAGGAGTCAGGTGCTGCATCTTCATTGCTGTCATCATAAACAGTAGCATCTGGTTGCTGGGGAGCTAGACACTCGAGTCTGTGTTCCATACCAGTGGTAACTGGAACATCAGTTCCTATTATGTTCTGACAGACAAATGATTAATTAGTACAATCAGCATCTCTCCTTGAAAATGGCCATGGATCAGTGTGTTCCTCTCCATCATGTAATTGAATCAGGGCCCACACACCTGTTTCCACTTCCTTTAAACAAACACCTGCCCAATAACCAACACAAAGCAATATTAAATCTCAACCTGCCTTGTGCATAAGTACATCTTTCAACTTGACCTAATCGATGCTGAAAGCTAGGAAAACAGGCTCAGAGAAGACGGATGCCTGATCCTCCCGCGTGGTCAGAGTCTGCAGCCCTGCCCCACACAGACGGACTGGCGGGTGGAGCTCAGCGCGACACCAGCCCAGCGCAGGCCTGGCTTCCCAGCTGAGTGACATGTGACATTGAGCAAGCCACTGAGCCCTGCACGTCTGTTTCCTCATCTCTAAAGTGGGGACAATGGTGTTTCCCACAAATATTTGTTGTTTTTCTATGTAATTTACATTCATCACTTTTTACTATCATAAGAGAATATTAAACAAGCCAGGTTGGCACGTTTTAATTCGGATTAAGGTGGAGTAAGTGCTCCTCCCTGTCTTTCCCACGGATTACAACTAAAAGTCCTGACCAGCACATGCAGAGCAACTATCTGAAGACTCTTCAAAGTATGTGACAGCAAGCCGACCAGGGAAGAGAATAAACAACTCAAAGAACCAGCTCGTGAAGATGAGGTTTTTTTGCTCCCATATTTCCTGGCTTAGATTCTAGGGCAGCCCGAATCTTGAAACTCTGAAATCGAAAAAAAAAGAAAGAAAGAAAGAAAAAAGGCAAGAAAAATCCTCTCTCTTGGCTAGAGGTTGGGAAAGGAGCCGGTGGAAAAGGGGCCGTTTACCCCGGAGGAGGCAGCATCCCGCGGAGGGGCAATAGCAGCAGCAGCGAAGGCAGCATCAAGTGTGGCAGCTCCAGCAATGGGAACCTGCAGGCTCTTCTGTTTGTACTTTCCCCTGAGGTAGGCACTGGAGACTGAACAGGACAGACCACCCCCCAGGTCTCACTGAGCCCCGGATGGGGCATGCTCTGGGTAGGCAGCTAGTCCAGAGAGGCTATGACAACTAAGTCAGCACTGGGACCACAGCCTGCAGGTGGGTCAGGACTGTGGTCTGAACATATCTTGGTCGATTGTCTACCAAAGTAAGCAAACAAACAAGCAAACAGAAAGCAACACTCCCCAGAAAACTTTTAACAGAACAGAAAATCTCACAGCATAATATGAAAATGTCCAGGCTATGATTTAAGATCATGCAGCATACAAAGAACCAGAACAATGTAATGACCTTTAAGGGGAAACGTAATCAATGTTTGCAAACTGCCAAGATGACCCAGGTGTGGAAATTTTCAGACAAAGATTTTAAAGCACCTCTTATAATAATGATCCATGAAGTAAGGGTGGACACTGTTGAAAATAATGACCCGTGAAGTAAGGGTGAACACTGTTGTAATGAATGAGAAGATAGACGCTTTCAGCAAAGAAAGGGAAAGTATAACAAAGAACCAAATGAAAACATTTGAACTGATAGATAAAATAACACAAATAAAAAGTCAATTAGAAGAACTCAAAAGCAGAATGGAGATGAGAAAGAAAAGAGTCAATGAGCTTGAAGGCAGATCAAAAAAATTATCCAATCTGGAAAATATAGAAGAAAAAAATATTTGATAAAAAAATGAACAGAGCCTTAAAGAACTGTGGGACAATATCATCAGTTTTTATCCTCACCTGAGGATATTTTTCCATTTTTTGTACAGATAGAGTGGGAGGGAGAGAGAGGAAGGGAGAGAGAGAGAAACATCGATGTGAAGGGACACATTGAGTGGTCGCCACCCGCACGACCAACCAGGGCCGGGGACAAACTGCAACCGAGGTACGCGCCCTTAGTGGGAACCGAACCCGGGTCTCTCTGGACCGCAGGCCGACGCTCTAACCACTGAGCCAAACCTGCCAGGGCCATCAGTTTTTATATTAGTGTCATTACAGTCCTGGAAGAAGAGGAGAAAGAAATTGGCGCAGAAATATATTAGAAGAAATAGTGGCTGAAAATTTCCCAAATTAGGTAAAGGACATATATTTGTAGATGTAAGAAGTGCAGCAAACTTCAAGTAGAATAAATTCAAAGAAAACCATACTCTGACTCATCATAATCAAAGATCAGAAAACAAAATAAAGCAAAACATCTTGAAAAGGCTAGAGAAAAACAATACCTTACAGAGAAAGGACCAATGATTCAAATGATGGCAGATTTCTCATAAAAAACCACAGAGGCAAAAAACAAAAACAAAAAAACAAAAAGATGGAGTGACATTTATAAAGTGTTGAAAAAAAAATACTGTAAATGCAGATTTCCATACCCAGTAAAAATACCACTCAGTTTAGTCCTGAGATCAGGTGTGCTATTTTAAAATATTTTTCACCAAATACCCCAACTGTGTGCTAGCATAGTGCTTAGTACAACTGATTCAGAGACATGAAGATTCAACCTCTCCCTTCAAGAAACTTACTTTGAAGTCCAGGGGAAGGTGGCCATCTGGGCAATTAAGTCCCATGTAGATATTGAAGTTAAGACATAAAGGAAAAGGTAGTTGTCTCTGTTGAGTTAAAAAGAGGTAACCAGGTACAGTTTGAAGAGGAGATTATGTGTGACTCCAATAGTCAAGGGCAGAAATATGAACACAACCTGCAGTGATTTGTTGGTATATGTGGGCAACTTACTTTTTTTAGTTATTATATCACATATATCTCTAAGCACTGTTTTCTTCCACTCTGAGCAAATGTCTAAGCGCCAGTCCCTACAGTACGATGATTAAGGACTGAATCCAGTTCCACCTGCACACAGAGCAATCTGATAACACTGGGGAGTGGTCAGGGCTCCCAGAACAGCTTTCATCCAATGACTGATGCGAGTGGATGAATAAATACCCCATCCCACACTCCTTGGATAGGATAACTCGAAACCTGTTCTCCACTGGGTCTCAGATTTCCCCAGTGGAATTAAGTTCTGTTTGCCTACTGTTGTGAACTTGCTTGATGTTGTGCATCCTACTGATTTTGATCCCTTCCCTCTCCTACTTTTTCGTCACCTTACTAGTGTTTTTAGGGATCACTTCTCAAAAAACTTGAACTTGTTCCTTGTTTCAGGGTTTACTTTGGAGAAAACTTAAAATAGTTTTGCAGATTAGAGTCCCAAGGCATCAGATTCTGAAATGGAGATTTGGAGTTTATTAGGAAGTACTCTTGGAATGACCACGTGTGAGAGGAGAGGAGGGAGCTGGGCTGGCAGCGGGAGGGTCGTAGTCACAACACAGGCCTCCGGTAGGTAGCCCACGGGGAGCTCCGAAGCCAGTGGAACCTTGAGAGCTGTCCCAAGTTGAGGTGAGGGCACTTGGCTTACATCCCTCATCTCAACTAGTCATTCGATTGAGGTTGTCCTGAGAAAGGGGCTATGACCTTGAGCAAGGCAGTTCTCTTTAGGTGCGAGTTAGAATGAGCTTAGATTGCTTTGACGTTACTGCTGGTAGAACTACAGGATGGGGCAGAAGTAGGGTTCCAGTTGTGAGCACACAAAAGAGCTCATGCTTGCATTATTAATTAATTACTGTATTATTTTCCATGTGAACAACTATAAACCTACTTTTGCCACTCCCTGGAGGTTAAAGGTAACTCCGGTGAGAGCTCAGGAAGAAAAGAGGGGGCTGGAGAGAGAGCTTCTGTTGTCTCCGATGATACACATGTCATCAGGAGCAGAATGCGGGTGGGAATAAGGACGTTAAGTCATCTGGTGAGGCTTCGGACAGAAATGAGGAGCATGCCACTGGGAACTGGAGGGATGCTATCCTCGTTAGAAAGAGGCAAAGAACTTGGCTGAATGATGTTCTAGAGTTTGGGGGAGGTAGAACATGCAAGCAATACAATGGAATATTTAACTAAGATTTCTAAGCGAAATGTTAAAGGTGCAGCCTGGTTTCTCCTTACTGCTTACAGGAAAACGCAAGATGAGAGAGAAGCAATTGTTAAGCAAGAAGGAGAAAATGGTTTGGAAAATTCTTGGCCAAAAAGTAAGAAAGCTTGTTAAGGAGAGAACATGCACGTCAAAACTCTCCTAGCCCCAACCCAGGACTCAGCTGCAAAGCGGCGCTCACCTTTCCAGGGGATCGTTGTAGTGGCCCCTCACGGAGCCCAAGTCTGCGTGAGTTTGTGCGTGTCTGCTTGGGCTGCCGGAACAAAATAGCAGCCGCCGGGGCTCGGACCACAGAGCTCGACCCTATCAGAGTTCTGGAGGCTAGAAGTTCCTCCTGGGTTTACCCATAAAGTATAATATTAAAAAAAAAAAAAAAAAAAAAAAAAGCCGATGAAAGGTCGATAGATACTTCTCCTTGAGGAAAATGGAGAGATCCTGGCTCGAGTTTGAATGTGCTCTTATGTTTTGCAGGAAGGCCATCCAATGTGCTCTGATCTACAGGAAGACATTTGTCCTCCTCCGACAGGACAATTTGACAAAGGGGCTGGACCTAACTCTCCGGGGCTGGGGGAGGCATCCTGGTGTGACTCTCCGAGGTGGGGGGAGAACAGGCAGCCCAGTGAGTTCTACCTGAGCAGGGAGCCCGCTGACCATCCTGCTGGGCAACCCCAGGGTCCATGGCTGGGTGGGTCTGGGCACATGGAATCTGGCCACTCTTTTCTTCTGTCCAGTCACATTGGTGCAAGTTTGCATAGTATTCAGGCGGTTCTCCCGTGACAAGCTCAAGCTGCTAAAAGGAAAACAGAAACAGAAAGAGTGGACAACTTCCCTACTGACAGCAAACAGCTAACTCAGACTCGTGGGAAAGGCGCCCCTGGTGGTGGGTTCTCTAGAGCGGGCTGTGAGCCAGCAGCCGACCCCAGAGAGGCTCAGCCCACGCTTGCTCAAAAGCTATGTTTCTTGTTCTGATATGGACAATGGGCTAATGATACTTATCTCTTATTTACAGGGTGGAGGGAAAGATCTGAGTTCTAATTCAGGATCACCATCAGCCAGCCACATGGCCTTGGGCAGACCGACGCACGTCTCTGGATTTGAATCTTTGTATATTTAAAAAGAAGGTGCTGGCACATAATCCTGGAGCCTGAAACACCTGCACGGTCAGGTTTCTCACTAAATCCCCCTCCTACGGTGGGCAGGACCCAGCCAGCCCCCACCCCCGGCCCCGTACCAACAGGATCCCTTCTCTGATTTGCTGAGCCCGGTCTCCCAACTGAAACTCCAGCTCCTCCACCTGCTGCCGCAGGGCCCTGCGCAGAGTTTGCAGCTGCTCGGCCTCCTTCCTGCAGGTAAAGGACAGAGTCAGACTGCACAACCATCGCCACCCACGCGCCGCCTTCCACTGCCCCTCAGAAGGGGGCCACGCCTTTGGTCTTTGTCACAAGAGAACGTCGCCACCTTCTCCATCTGGTGCCGTCGCAGACACAGGTGTGTTACTAGGGCAGACTTTCTTTTTTCTTTTTAAGCAACGCTATTGCAGAATAATTTACATGCCATGAAGTTTACCTGTGTCAAGAGGACAGTTCGGTGACTTTTAGTGAATTTGCTCAGTGCTGTGGCTGCCAGCATGCGGGTCTGGAAACTTCCATCGTCCCAGGCAGAGCCGTCATGGCCTTGTACAGTCAACTCCTAGTCCCACCCCATCTTCAGGCTACTATTCATCTATTTTTGGATCATATACTTTTAATCTATGTGAAAATGATGCAGATTTTCAACACCCAAATAGACCCCGACCTTTGCATTTACTTGAGCCCCATTTGCAGTGACGGAAGATGTCCTGCTAGCTAGTCCCCTCTTCCCGGCTGCTGCCCACCTTCCAACCTCACGGATGCCTGGCCTTTAAGAGTAAGGGTTGCTGTCTAGCCAATGGCTCCCGCAGACCCTCACTGAGAAAGCAGGAACAAGAACACGAAAGGCGGGGAAAGCTGGCCAGCTTCTCATTAGCCCTGCTCCGGGGCACGCATCTGCCCTGCCCTGGTTACCTTTCCTGCTTCAGGGCCGTGGCTTGGTCCTTACTCTTAGGGCTCCTTTAGATAATTACCTTTCCTCTTCTGACATGTCCCTGGAAAAGAGAGCCTGCTGTCCTACGAGGTGCTTCTCAGTTTCCTCCAGATGCTCCCGGAAGCCCTGGCATAGCATCTTCATTGCTTCCATCTCCCGGACGGTGCACTGAGAACAATCAGAAAGAACAGCCAGCCTGTACCCTGGCGGAGCCTGCTGTCCCCCCTGGGCTCACTGCTCCGCCCCCCGCTAATGTGTGGGGAAGACTCTGGGGAAAGCCCAGCCTGGGGCTTCTCCGAGCAGCTAGAGGGAGTACTTGGCTGGGACGGAGGGTGGAAGTTATTGGATGAGCCTTGGAGACGTTCTGTCCTGGAGACGGGGAGGCAGTCTGGACTACTAGGTGATGTGGGGATTGAGTCTGCAGTTGGAGGAGGGAGGGGGAGGGCCAGAGTGTGGGTTTGTGTTCAGAAAAGTTGAGTCTACCTTGTTTAACTTTGTGGCTGAGTAATGCCTCACTCTGAATCTCCACATCTTGAACAGATAATTTTGTTTAGTTAGAGAAAGTCTTCTAAGGATATTTTTGATTAGTCTTAGCTTTGTTTAACCACAGTCTCTGGAGATTAAAATCTGAGGAGTACCTCCAGCCAGCTGGCAAGCCCACCCACAGTGAGGCAGGCACAGATGGGCACCCCATCCCTCCATGAACTGGGATCTCAGAGTGGACCACCCTCCCAGTCCTGATTCCTCTCCCCATTGCTCTTGATGGGAACAATGCATTAGACCTTGCTTTCTCTGCATGCCTGTGCTTTTGCCTTGGTTTCCTTATTTAAATCTCTTTTTGCAGCTACCAAGCCCAGTCCATTTGTCAGGCACTCTGGTGATTTGCTGGGTTCTTACCAGCTATCACTGGTTTTTTAGCCCAGGTCGGACCATGCTTTGACTGGACCCATAATCCAAACTCCAGAATCCCCAGCCTCAAGATCTCCCGACAAGGCCCATGGTTTGGACCCCCTTCCTGATTGGTATGGCAGAGGCTGCTAGTTGCCCACTTACTATCTTTCTCCCCTTTATTCTTACTAACAAATTCTAGTATCTTAGAGGCAACAATATGACTAGGTAAAAAACTACACTTCCCAGCATCCCTTGCACATAGGGTAGCAATGGGATAGAAGTGCAGAGCATGAAGCCGGGCTTCTGGGAAACTCTTAAAGGAAACTGATTCCTCAGGCCGGGCCTCTTCTAACTTTTTCTTCTTCCTTCCATGGAAACCAATCTTACAGCTATATTAATTCTTCCCGGCCCTGCTTCTAAGAAGTCCCAGATTTCATACCCTTCTCACCAAAACCACATGGCCAAGATCCAGGCAGCCCGATAGCTATTTTTTTTTTTTTAAGGAATCATTGTAAAACAAGTATTTCCCTAAGAATGGTGTTTTTGTATTGGAAACTCTACATCATTTTTTCTTGGAGGTTTGATTTTTATGCTATCTTTTCATTTTTATTCCAAAGAACATATTTTATGCAGCAAAACTCTCCAGTTACTTTTGCTTCGGCGTGAGCACATTTACATCAGCGAGGGGAGTGTCTGAAGCATTACTGGTGTTGGCAAGAGTGTTGGAAAGGTGACCTGGTCAAACACAACAGGTCCTAGCGACCACGAAGGACCTTTCAGAGATCAGTGTTGTGACGGTTTCCCTTGTCCGCAGTGAAAACAGCAGTCAGATTTCAAACCCAAGTGTCCCTGTTCGTTCCCTTTCTTCCTAGTCACAGCAGGGACTAGCGTGGCCACACGAAGCTATTTGTTCCTCAGGAGGGAGCTGACGAGTGGTCCTAGCAGATTTCTAGAAGGCCGCCACGTTCCACGGACAGTGAGGCCAGGGACAGGCAAACGCGGTGCTCTAGGGACATTGTAATCACTGAATTTTATGTTCCAGCAGGTTGTCTCAGGTTTTCTGACTGCAAGGCGTGGAGCCTGGGATAGGGGGCCTGTGGCTCCCTGCCAAGGGAACGACAAGGAAAATTCTGAAACACTGCCATCTTCTGGTCATTCGGAAACACTAACAGTACATCTCAGCTCTGGAACAAGTATTGCAGTAGTTTCAGAAAAAAGAAAACCTTATTCTCCCCCTCCAAAAAGGGGGGCTGTTTTGAACTCTTTTTTTTGCAATATAAGAGCTGGGTTATAACCCAATATAATGCAAGCTCTGCTCCACTGACCAAGCCCACTAAAACAAACAACTTCAATAGTAAGAGCGGCACCACTGAAAACAAACTGTTGAAATGGCTCCTATCACTTTTTAAATGGTGTATGCTTTTCTTTTTCTTTAAATCCAAATCATAAGAATTATAAAAGAATTTTCTAAAATCCAAAAATATAATTTCTGATACATCTTGTGCTTTGGAAAAATTTTTAAAAATTAACAAATCATTGTGAAAAATTCACTTATATATAAGAATTTAATTATGTCAATAAAGCATTATCTTAGATAACTCACAAGACCACAAAAATGACATTTAACAGCCAAGTGTTTCTCTGCACTGTTACATGCTGCTATGTAATGGGGAGAAGTGGGGATGTTTTCTGAGCTTTTAACCTAAAATGTTCTTAATTTCAACACCTGTTTGGAACTCCCATTGTCATGTAAATTATGGCATCTGTCTCCATCTATAATCTTCACTTGGTGTCAGAGCTATTTTATAGATAATTTTTTCATTGACTATTGATTTTCTTGTATCTCTAGCTAGCATTTAGCATCTAACTTACAGCCATTTTCTCCAGGATATTTGTCAGGCCTACAAACCTAGGCTCACTCACAGAGGTGCTTTTTCTCTTTGTTCTTGTGTTTACTCTTCCGTTTAAGTAGCACCTTCTCATTTGTGAATGAAATACCTGATTTTCACTTGCTTTTATGCGTGTGTGTGTTTGCATGGGTACACCTGCATAGGAGTACAAATATGCACGTGTATGTGTGTTTTGATTGTTTCCTCTGAGTGTGTGTTCGTGGTTCCTTGGATTTAAATAAAGAGAAATGTGCTGTCGCCCTGGCCGGTTTGGCTCAGTGGTTAGAGCGTTGGCCTGCGGTCCAGAGAGACCCGGGTTCGGTTCCCGCTAAGGGCATGTACCTCGGTTGCAGTTTGTCCCCGGCCCTGGTCGGTCGTGCGGGTGGCAGCCACTCGATGTGTTCCTTTCACATCGATGTTTCTCTCTCTCTCTCTGTTCCTCTCTCTCCCTCCCACTCTACCTGAACAAAAAATGGAAAAATGTCCTCAGGTGAGGATAAAAAAAAAAAAAAAGGAGAAATGTGCTGTCTTCTAGTAAAACCCAATGCAGCACGGTTTCAGCAGGTGTATGATGCCAGATCAATTTGATAGGAAAGGACCACTGTTTGTGTGTAATTGCAAATTCGAGAGGAGAGAAGGCTAAGTCAAAGTGAGATGAGGTATCAGAAGACATGGGCTGGTGACATGCACTTTAACCCAAATTCCTGTCCATTTAAAAGCTATCTGCACGTCTGAAGATGGGCCACAACCCCGTGTTGTCTGCAGAAGTGCGATATGTCACAGAATCCAATCAGGAGGAACATCTGCTTCCAGTGGCCAGACCTCTCCCCACGGTGGCGACTCAGAACCAGGCTCAGAGAGGCTGAGTGGCCTGTGCAAGGTTATACAGCGAAGCGAACTTAGGACAGAGAACTGGTTAGTCAGACTGAACTGAAGATAAGGTGCAGCTGCATTAATGTGTATAAACTTACATATACATTTATGTAAGGCTCTATAGCCCTTTGTCAAATGAGAATTAATAGTAAAATTTGCCTTCCTTATCGACAAGGTAATGGGAAGTATCAAATGAGAAGACATTTGTGAGAAAATACCATAAATCATAAAGCAATTTGCAAATACTGCTCATGATTTGCAAAAGGGAAGGCAGCTCCGAGAGCTTGCGTTCAGGGAGGAAGGTGAACATCCTCCCGGAGGGGTTAGTTGTCGCCTCTTCTGCTTCCCCAGCTTGGCAGAGACAGACACTTACAGAGCACAGCTCCCGCACTGCCGTGTCCTGAAGGACAGTCAAAGTCTTCATGAACTGGGCTTCCAGGTGGCTACGTGAGCATGCGCCGTGCCTGCAGCCTGCAGCCGCAGAGCGGGGGCTTTGTCTCCCTGGGTGGCAGTGGGGATGGTGATGGCAGCAGTCACAGCGGTGGGCAGGTGCAGCATGGCTGCTGTCCACTGGGCAGATACCAGGGAGGCCTGTGTCTAGAGAGGCAGATTTGGTGAGGGGCGGGGCCTTGCTACTGGGAGCCGAACAGCGATGCCAGGACCCGGGCTCACACGAATAAGTCTGAACAGAAACATCGCTGAACTGTTTGGCTTCCGTCCCCAGGTCTGGGTCTGTTGTGCTAACAGGGTCATACAAAGTGCATTCCAAAGTTGTTCTTCTAAAATAAGTCCCCGAGGCCACAGCCTTCTGAGCAGCTAACAGCAGATTGGAGGACATCTGGGTTGTCACAGACTCGGGGCTGATGGTGTCTGAGTCAGCATTTGAAGGGAAGGTTCCCATCTCCGATCCTGCCCTGGGTGGTATTTGACCCAAAGCACTACACCTTGGCTTCGCTTCGGATGTAGTACCTCCAGAGAGCTTGTCTAGGTGGGGAATGGACTTCTCAGATGTCTGAATAAGGTCAACTGTGAAGGACATGCCTTCACTGGGCTTGGGGACACGCTGTGGTGGATTTTCTCGCGTTCGTAAGGTGTTGTTGATGTCAGGACAGAGTTGACTGCCCTCTGCTCCTCTTGGGACCTCAGAGTCAACATGAAGGAACCTGCATTGAGTATGACCCACTCCAGGTGACCACTGAGACTCACAGTGGTGGCTTTGCACATCCCCAGCTCGCTCAGGCCTCAGGAACCCATCCTTCCCTTCTGTGACGTGGGTCACCAGAAACTCCAGAGGATGGTCACATTTGGAGGTGGTCATATCGACACTGACCTCGTGTTGAGGCTGGGGCATGGGCGGGGGTTGCCTCCCATGGCTGTCTTTCCTGGGGTGTTCTCCCCCGGTGGTGGTCATGTCCGGGGCCGTGTCTGAGGTTAACAGCTCTGGATGTCCCTCCATGGCCTCCAGCTGATACTCTTTCTCCACCACAGATGTTGAGGACTTTTCTTCCAAGACATTCCAGTCTTGACTTGAAAAAGATGTGCTCGCCATCCTCTCGGAATCGGCCTCGTCTGGCTCTTGCTGGCAGTCCTGGGGTGACCCTGGGTGCTGGTTCCGATCCGCGGGTTTTCTACCTCCGTCCTCAGCAGGACTCCAGCTTCCAGGCGAGGAGGGCATCTGCGGAAGACACGGGGATGAAGGGAAAGGGGTCAGGAAGGCGGGGGAGGCGCGAGGTTTAAGCCCTGCTTTTTCTCCACCGTTAATATTGCCTCAGAAGTCGGGAGCTAAAGGTTACAACCTCAGGTTGACGTCAGTTCACTACTTTAACCGGGACCCCTTTCTAGGGGCTCAGCTTCTTTGTCTAACACAATCAAAAGTAAAGGGAGAGGAGAGCTGAGCCTCCGTCCCTCGGTGCCCGTGGTGCGTGCCTTCGAAGCACTGGCAGCACGCTTCCAACTTGCATTCCCCCCAGTGCTACCCAGCCCGGCCTCTACCTGCAGGGCCGGGGGCTCTGCTGGCTCCTCCAGGAACCCGCTGCTGTCCGACTGGCAGCTGGCAGCTCTGTTCACCGTGGCACCTGCGGAAAGAAAGGAAGAGGCCTGGTGAGGGAGTGAGAACAGGGAAACAAGACTGGGCTCCAGGCCCCCGAGTGCCCGTCATGCCGCCCTAGATCCTAAGCCCACTGCGTGGAAGTGTGAAGAGTCATGCAAGCCCAAGGGTTTCTGTTGTTGTTGTTGCTAACCCTCACCTGAGGATATTTTTCCACTGACTTCTTTAGATAGAGTGGGAGGGAGGGAGGGAGGGAGGGAGGGAGGGAGGGAGGGAGGGAGAGGGAAGAATTGATGTGAGAGGGACACGTCAACTGGTTGCCTTGCGCATGACCCCAATCAGGGCCGAGGATCGAACCTGCAACCTAGGTACAGGTCCTTGACCAGGAATCAAACCCGCAACCCTTTGGTGCTCAGGCCGACACTCTATCTGCTGAGCCAAACCGGCCAGGACTCTGAGTGTTTTTCCTCAACTGCCAGAGGGTTCGCATAAACTGCATCGCTGCGGTCCCACTACAAGGGGTAAAACGTGCAACACAGGAAGAGGAGCTCACGTCTCTTAGAACTAAAAAACAATATGATTGTGAAATGCATCTTTATTAAGGGGAAGAAAATCCAGAAGGAAATGCATATGCCTTAAATGTCAGGCTAACAAAACAATACAACTCCAAATTGATACATCTGTGTGCATCCATATTGCAAGGAACTGAATGTTTGTGTCCCCCGCCCCAAATTCATATGCTGAAATTCTAGCCCAGGGCGATAGTATTAGGAGGTGGGGCCTCTGGGAGGTTATCTGGTAATGAGGTCAGAGCTCTTATTCCTGGGGTGAGGGCCCTTACAAAGGGGACCTCAGAGAGCTCCCTTGCACCTTCCTCCATGTGAGAACCCAGCAAGAGGGTGACTACCTGTGAACTAGGAAGTGGGTTCTCACCAAACACCAAATCTGTGGGCACCTGGATCTTGGGCCTCCAATCTCCAGAACTGTGAACAACACATTTCTGCCCCCCAGTGTATGGTATGCTGCTACGGCAGCCCAAATGGACCAAGACAAACATATTCTTTCTCTTTTGACTAAATGTTGAATAGGAACCCTTTACAGTCCTTGTCTGGACTCTATATGACTACAGTTTTGTGCTCATGGTTTTTAATTTTTTTTTATCTTTACCCGAGGACATTTTTCCATTTTTTGTTCAAACAGAGTGGGAGGGAGAGAGAGGAAGAGAGAGAGAGAGAGAAACATCGACATGAAAGGGACACATCGAGTGGCTGCCTCCCGCACGACCCAACCAGGGCCGGGGACAAACTGCAACTGAGGCACATGCCCTTAGCGGGAACTGAACCCGAGTCTCTCTGGTCCGCAGGCCGACGCTCTAACCACTGAGCCAAACCGGCCAGGGCTGTGCTCATGGTTTTGAATGCTGCTCTCATCATCTTGAGAGGCCAGAAGGGGCAGAGAAAGAACAATGTCACCTGTGGGCAGGTAACGCAGGTAACACTCTGTAAACATGAGCATCTTGAAATTCTGAATCTGTAACTTCTTATCAATGGGGTGGGGGAATGGGTGGTTGCTGGGAGGCACCCTGTTAAAAGATTAAACTGTAGAATTATTTTCTCTCCTTTAATGAGAAATGCGTCCAGCTACACTGTAGTACGGGCTAGACTAGGAAGTCTCCTCTTCCCAGAGCAGGAGCCTTATTTGTCCTGGCAGAAAAGACTAAGCGTGGGTCTGGGGAAGTGGGTTGAAAGGAAAAAGCAGATTTGTTGGTGGATGAAGTGCTTGGATATCTGGTACCTAAGTGACAGGTGGGGAATTTGCCTCGGCTGAAGAACTAGCTGCTGCAGAAGAGTTCAAAGGAAAAAGCAAACAATCCAGCCTCTGCTTATGTGTCCGAGATCCAACCTTCAAGGACAATTCCACTAACAAGGCCAACAGCGCCTTGGTTCTGGGTAGGACTTCCCACCAGCCTTACCTGCCCATGTGTCTGAACAAAGACAGCAGGTACAGACATGGTTCCGGAGCTGGTCCACCAGCCCAGATCCCAACTACCTCACCCTGAGCTCTATGTAAACAGAAGAAAAAAAATTAGGTTTGTAGAATTAAAATGTATCAATTTCATATTCATGAGTTTACTTCACATAAAATAAAAGGCTAAAAATCAGAGGACGTAAATTTTTAATCGCTGAATCTTAGGGAGATGAAGGAAATTTGAGCAAAGTTTTGAGGAAACAATGTCTTTGACAGAGCTGTTACTCCTTGTTACATAATTGAAGGTAAAATATAAAATATTTACTAGTCATAGACCTAAACAAGACCTCTGCTTCTGGCAAGCTGGAGTAATAAAAACTAGATCACCCTACCACCTGAAACAACTAAAAAATTGGACAAAGTATATGAAATATGGTTTCAAGAAAGTGGACATCAGCTCACTAATGGTAGCAGTTCCTGAGAGGCAGGAACAAATCTGTGAGACCTACAATTACCCAGCTTCCTGCCTTCAGAGAGTTCACAGGCCTTGCTGTAGGGACAGTGAACCCAGGCAGGTCCTGGCAGGCCCCCTCAGTTGAGGAGACAGAACTAAGAGTCTGGAAAGACTGAGCCAAATAGAGTTCACAGAGTCAGGTGAAGGAGAGGAGGGAGCTGTACGCGAAAACTCTAGAGCATCCCTCTTGAGTGGTTGGCCATGTACTGATCAGATCACGCATGTGAGAAAACTCAAAAGACGGTGGAAGGGAGCACTGGAAAGGATTAGAAGATGCAATGCCCAACACTCACCCAGGCCTGGAACAGTGCATGCTCCCACCAGCCAGATTCTAAAACCTCATAATTCACAGAGTATTGGCAGGATAGAGTAGTCAGATGGGTCTTGCCTCAGGAGTGAGGAATAATTAGCCTTCAAATGAGCATTGTTCCCACCTAACATCTTAAAATCAAGACCTAAAAGGATCAGCTGTTTCCAAGTAACTCAGACCAAAGATAAAGAATATTTATAGCAATATAGTAATATCTAGCACCTACGAGGTAAAATCTACAATATCTAGCATGAAATAAAAAATAATAGCCATGCAATGAAGCAGGAAAATATGACCCATACCAAGAAAAAAAAATCAAAATCAATCGAGACCAACCTAAAACTAACATAGATGTGAGAATTAGTAAACAAGAACATCAAACACTGATTATTACTATAGCCCATATGTTCAAGAAGCTAGAAGAAAAATGAAATCTGTTAGGTAGAGATCGCAAGATATTAAAATATACCCAAATTGAAATTCTAGAGATGAAAACTATGTCTCAGGTAAAATTTATACTGGATGTGATTAACATCATTTTAGAGGTTGCAGAAGAGAAGATTAGTGAAACTGAAGACATAGCCATAGAAACTACAGTGATACCTCGGTTCTCGAACGCCTCGGTTTTCGACCAAATCGGTATTCGACCAGGAGATTCGAGAAACTTTTGTCTTGGAATCCGAACAAATATTTGGAACTCGAACTTCCGAGATGAGCCGAGTTGAGCCGAATGGCGTTCATTCGGCCCAGCGCGCCTTGCTTGCATCATCAGTGTGAGCGCAGAGAGAGAGTCACGCTTTGTGGAGTCACGCTTTCCTATTGGGTTTCATTGCTTCGGTTCTCGAACAATTCGGTTCTCGACCGTCCTCCTGGAACGAATTATGTTCGAGAACCGAGGTATCACTGTATCTCAAATAAAAGACAGAGATTTAAAAAAATAAGAATTTAAAAAATCAAAAGAGCACCAGTGAGCCAGAGACAACTCTAAGCAGCCTAATTTATAGGTAATTGGAATATCCCAAAGAGGATGGAGCACACTGGATGAAAAGTTTCAAAGAAAAGTTTGTTTTGAGAAGTTGAACCAACCTCAAACACAAGAAACATGAAGAAAACTGTAACAAGGCACATAAAAATGAAATTGTCCAACACCAATGATCAAGAGAAAAATCTTAAAATAAGCCAGAGAAAAAAAGACACATTACACACACAGAAAACGAAGATAAGGAAGGCAGCAGATTTCTCAACAGAATAATTTAAGCAAGAAGACAGTGGGAAAACATCTTCAAAGTACTGAAGGGGAGAAAAAACCTGTGTGGGTGTGTTTTAAAGATTTATTATCTAAATCTTTTAAAAGATAATTGACTATTTAAACAAAATAATAACAATGCAGTGTACAGTTTATAACAAAGACCTAGAAGACTGAAAAAAATGCAAACACATGAAAAAAATGTAAAAATTGATTCATTAGAAGGAACTGCCTTTCAAATTTAATTTAACTGTGATGTACAATTTTTATCCAGTCTTTAACCTAGGTAATAGAATACTGTTTATTTGTGAAAGAAAATAGTGTACACTCATTGTGTATTTATTTATTTAAAAAGTTTTTTTCTTTATTGATTTTAGAGAGGGAGGATGGAAGAGGGAGAGAGAGATAGAAACACAGATCAGAGAGAACATCAATTGGCCACCTCCTGCATGCTCCCCACTGGGGATTGGGCCCACAATCTAGTCATGTGCCCTGATGGGGAATCCAACCAACGACCTCGTGGTGCATGGGTCGATACTCAACCACTGAACCTCACCAGCCGGGCATACTGTGTATTTATTATAGAAAACTGCATAATGATTTATTCAATATTGTGTAATATTGAACACTTCCCTGTTCTTGTTATAATGAACTCAGCTGATACTAAAATTCTTCAGATCCTTTAGAGTTAAAAACAAACAAACAAACACATTTTCCTACTTATATCAACTATGGGTACAAAAAATGATGATGATGATGACAAAAATCTTTCCAAATCTCAATGCAGAATTTTTAATATTTTCTCGGTACTATACAAAGGGCTCTGGCCGCTTTGGCTGGAGCCCCGCCAGTGAATGTCTATACAGAGCGAGAAGCCCATCCTCAAGAATTTCCCATGCAAACCTCCTGTTCAAAGCTCCCCTTGTGGGCTTCAGGACCCACCACAGCCTGCTGCTACTCAGCCCCCTCTGCCGTGAACAGAGCCTGTGG